GGGTGGGAGGGACAGGCAGAGGGAGGCAAGGATAAGGGGCAGAGAGAGAAAATGAGGCAACAAGGTGCATGCTTGAGCTCCTCACTCCCCTCCGCTCCTCTGTCCGCCCTCCTCTGTCCCTCTCCTGTGTGTGGGTGGGAGGGACAGGCAGAGGGAGGCAAGGATAAGGGGCAGAGAGAGAAAATGAGGCAACAAGGTGCATGCTTGAGCTCCACACAACCCTCCTCATCTCCGCACGCCTCTAACCATCTCATGGCAGTGTGTGAGAGGGCCGGGCAGTGCGAGTCAGTGAACTGTTGGAATATGTTTTGTGCAGCGAAGATAGCATTTAAAGACGTGGCAAAAAGAAGCATTTGTACTACTCATTCTCCCTCTCACCTGGGCCTCATGCCACCAGGTCGCTGTCTCCGGTGTGGTGTAGCGTCTCTGACGGGTCTTCGGGTCAGTGTCTACCCGTGGCTTCAGAACGAACCCAGGCGCATTCCGCGGATCGCCAAACAGGTCGGCCAGAGCCTGGACGAGACAATCACGACGCGATTATGATGAGCTAAAAATAATACGTGCAGCGAAATAAAGGTCGTATCAACAAACTGCATAGGAAATAACTCACACAGCACGTACCTGTAATGAGTTACGGAAGAACAGCGTTTGCGCCGGGAAGCCCGCAACCTTGAATGTTACAGTCGGGTACCCACGGCCTAGACCACGCAGTTGGTCCAACTCGAAGCGCTCGAGCTCTCGGCAGTTGGTGTACTCCTCGAGCACTCTCTGTGCAAGTTCCGGAACCATTAGAAGTTGCAGCAGTGCGTTGATGTCCGTCTCTGCCAAACCAAGCCGTCCGTTGGCTTTCCGCACAAAGTGCAGAAAATGAAGCGCAGCGGGATTGCTCGGTGGTGGACGCCCGAAGCTTGTTGGTACGGAGGGAGCAGCGGTATTTCTGCCGCTGTTGTTACTCTGAGGCGAATTCGCTGTGTCCGCGTCGGTGACTGCCTCGGGCATTTCATTTCCGGGTGTAGAATATGAGGAATTGCTGCCGGAATGCTCACCGTCTTCCTGTGACTGTACGTTCTCGCCATGTACGTGATGGGCCGGAACATGGGCCGTATTCTCAGCATCGGGAACAGGTGTTGTGAAAAGGACAATGTGCTCTTGTAGTGAAGGTCCATTCTGACGCAGTGCTGCATATTTGACACGGCATACAGGGTCCCATGCCTTGTGCCGCCCGAAACACTGGGCACTTCGAAATCTCCCCTTGCAAAAGACGCACAGTAACTGTTTGTTGATGTTCATGCTATGACTAGCTGTAATATGAAGAGTCCCGAGAGTGGCCGCATTGTACAAGTGCTCTTTAGTAGCGGCTAGGCCTGAGAGGTCGACGTGCGAAGGGCGTGAAAGGTGACTCCCTATAGGGGTATCGCGGCAGCGACCAGAGGACCGGGTTCCTATGAGACACACCTCGAAGTAAGTTCTACATGTTGATGCTACACAGAGGACTGTGACTAAACTTAGACATACGAGTGTTGAGTGGGAAGTATAACTACTCCGCATTCTGTCTAGCCTATGGCTCTGCGTATGATCATGATTTACTCGCCGCGCACCGCGCCGTGATGTAGGGGTGAATTGGCGCGCAGCGCGGCCCCGCCGCGAGCCAAGGTGCTACCTACACTCGCAATACGTGTTGCACGAGGCGTTTTAACGTGGTGGGTAATGGCAGGCACAGTATTGAGCCGCGTGCGGCTGCTGTGACGGATGGGCTCATGGAAGGACAGCGGGAAGGGGACGATGTTCCATACCACCCTTAGAGCTTAGAGAATGGCGGACCTTGCGCTTGTCTATCCCCCCAGAGGTTCTGGTGAGAATTCCTCCGCAGTCTAGAGAAAACCGAGCAAAAGTTAGAAGAAGCTAAATCGCCAAATGAGACTGTCAGGCTCAAGCCTCACCCTAAAGCAAGAGACTTGTGCGTGATTATCACGTCAGGCAGCGGAAGGCGCACTTTGCTGTGATTGTAAGGCGAAGCGACTCGGGAAGGATCACCGCACAGAGTAAGCGTGCTCTGGCCGACTCTGTTTGCTGTGTGATGCGGCTATTTGAATTCTGAATTCGAAGTTTGAAATGACGGGAGGGGATGTGTGCACTGCCCACACGAGCAACTCGCGGTTCGCGATATTGGCGAAATTGTTATACTGTTGCTGACATTACTGAAACAATCAAATCTAAAATATCAGAATCAAAAACCAAGGGCCCTAGGAATCAGAGCATAATCTCTAGGAAAGTGGTGTCGAGAAACAACCCAATCACTAGCAGAGCTTTCTGACGAGGTTCGGTTTGTGGCGAGGATTGAAATCCAATACCCGGCAACTCTACATCAGATTCAAGCTACTCTCACATAGCACGGCATGATAAACATATCTAGCCTTCATGGACAGAGCTGAGAATGATAGGGGGGTCTCAAAATGGTGTCAAGAGACTACCCTACCACTTGCTGAGCTTTCTGACAAGGTCTGGTTGGTGGCGAGGACTGAAATCCAATACCCGGCAAATATGCATCTGATTTGGGCTTCCCTTACATATCATGGCATGATGAACCTATCTAGCCTTCATGGACTGAGTTGATAATTATAGGGGGGTCTCAAACTGGTGTCAAGAGACTACCCTATCACTTGCAGAGCTTTCTGACAAGGTTTGGTTGGTGGCGAGGACTGAAATCCAATACCCGGCAACTCTGCATCAGATTTGGGCTTCCCTTACATATCATGGCATGATGAACCTATCTAGCCTTCATGGACTGGGCTGAGAATGATAGGGGGGTCTCAAACTGGTGTCAAGAGACTACCCTACCACTTGCTGAGCTTTCTGACAAGGTTTGGTTGGTGGCGAGGACTGAAATCCAATACACGGCAACTCTGCATCAGATTTGGGCTTCCCTTACATATCATGGCATGATGAACCTATCTAGCCTTCATGGACTGGGCTGAGAATGATAGGGGGGTCACAAACTGGTGTCAATAGACTACCCTACCACTTGCTGAGCTTTCTGACAAGGTTTGGTTGGTGGCGAGGACTGAAATCCAATACCCGGCAACTCTGCATCAGATTTGGGCTTCCCTTACATATCATGGCATGATGAACCTATCTAGCCTTCATGGACTGAGCTGAGAATTATAGGGGGGTCTCAAACTGGTGTCAAGAGACTACCCTATCACTTGCAGAGCTTTCTGACAAGGTTTGGTTGGTGGCGAGGACTGAAATCCAATACCCGGCAACTCTGCATCAGATTTGGGCTTCCCTTACATATCATGGCATGATGAACCTATCTAGCCTTCATGGATTGGGCTGAGAATGATAGGGGGGTCTCAAACTGGTGTCAGGGTGGCAGACAAGGTTTGGTTTGTGGTCAGCACATGGCAATGGTGGTCAGAGTATGAGTTGTTAAGTGTTAGGTTCTTCATTGGTATTGCTCGATACCGTATGTTGATTTTGGTAAATTACAGCCAAGAAACAACCATGATGCGGAACTGTAGAGGAGCTGTAGAGGAACGGGTAGAGCCATTCAGATGAAGTTTTGGACTATAATCCTACGATATATGAGCGTTATGAGATATCGATGTAGGTGTTCATTTGGAGACACAGACCAACCATAGTTTGGTTTCAAGCACTATTTTCAGCCCTAGCACGCTAGAGGTTACCTAAATCTATCATAATACTTATAATTTACCACCCAACAAAAGCCCCAACAATTTAACCAATAATGTGGCTTCCAATATGACATGTCTGTGAGACTAGTTATATGTGTAAGCATACAGAATTGAGCATTTTCACTGTTCTGTGTGTTATTGACATCATGAATGGTTTTAACTTGGGCCTTCCTTTTTTTGGCGGTTTCACATGTGAAACTGCGTTGCAAGTGGGGGCATGTTACACAACAGTTTCAAGCTACAGTGCAATTTTCATGAACCGCCTTTCATAATGCTGACTCATATCTACTGTTTCGTTTCTTGTGAGGGTGTGGCCGTGCAGCGTTGTGCGCCAGAGCCATCAAGGAATCTCTTCAAGTTGTCCTGCTATCGCTTCGTTTGCAACAGTGTTATTGTTGCTTGCACAACCATGTGTTTTGTTTCAGCAAGTTTGAACTTTGTGGGTGTGTTACAATTGTAAACCCTAAAAGTACAGAATGTCTGAAAACAGAGCATCTTGTTACGTTCCTCAGTGATTCAAACTGGCGCTGATGTTTGAGCGTTGGTCCCAAACCCTAAACGTGGAAGAATTGTTGCGTGAATGTTAGATGCTTACGAGTTACGAGCCTGAAACAAAAAATATCTCAATCATCTGCAGCCCGAAATTGTCCTGATCGCCTTCCATAGTCGTTGGTCTCTTTCCGACTTGGCGAAGGTGCAGGTACTGTTCAGCACAGCGTTATGCACCTCACATCACTTCACCACACCACAACCCATCGCACCTAGAATGACCTCTCCTAAACCCACGGCAAGACACCGACTTTTCGTCACACAACGCCAGCTCCCGTTTTGTGGCCACCAGCTTGAAATACTGTACGTACAGTATTCATGCCCATTCAAATCCAACACCCCTTCCCCTCTACCCTACCCCCCTGCTCGTTCCCGCACCTCGCCTGCTCATCCCCGCTCCCTGACCTCTTCGTCCCCGCACCCTTGCCTGCTCCTCCCCGCTCACTCACCTCCTCGTCCCCGCACCCTCACCTGCTCATCCCCACTCCCTCTGCCTGCTCGTCCCTGTTCCGACCCCAAAACTTACACAGTAATTTAAGCCTCTCTCACGCTTGGTGCGCGAGCTCTTAACCTTCACATTTCCTACCCTGCCTGCTTTGTACGCGTTCCAATTGTTGGCCGTCAAATATCGGTGTGTGGAAGGGTGCGCAGTAAACTGTGAAGTCTGTTAGACGGCTTTGCTACATACTATGCTTAATTAGGAACGTTAAACGAGATACACGGTATAATCGAAGAAGAGAGACTCACACGGGTACAATGAACGGGTTTGTGGCGGAGCATGGGGTGGGAGGTCATGAAGGGGAAGGAGCAGCCTACCCAGGAGAACCGACAGGGGAAGGGAGAGGCTACGCGCAAGGGGAAGGGGGAGGATACGCGTCAGGGGAAGGGGGAGGATACACGACGGGGGAAGGGGGAGGATACGCGACGGGGGAAGGGGGTGGATACGCGACAGGGGAAGGGGGAGGATACACGACAGGGGAAGGGGGAGGATACGCGACAGGGGAAGGGGGAGGATACGCGACGGGTGCACGGGGGGGATACGCGCAAGGGGAAGGAGGCGGATATGCGACAGGGGAAGGGGGAGGATACGCGACGGGTGCAGGGGGAGAATACGCGACAGTGCAAGGGGAAGGATACGAGCAAGGGGAAGGGGGGGGAAACGAGACAGGGGTAGGGGGAGGATACGCGACCGGCGCAGGAGGAGAATACGAGACAAGGGAAGGGGATGGGTACGAGGGCGAGGAAGGGGGCGAGGACGGGGGAGAGGAAGGGGGAGAAGACGAGGGAGAGGAATGGGGGGAAGAAGAGGGTGAGGAATGGGGAGAAGACGGGACAGGGGAACAAGGTGCATACGCGTCGGGGGAAGGGGGAGTACACGCGACAGTGCAAGGGGGAGGATACGTGACAGAGGAAGGGGGAGGATACGGGACAGTGCGAGGCGGTGAAGACGAGGGAGACAAATGGGGAGAAGGCGGGACAGGGGAACAAGGTGCATACACGGCAAGGGAAGGGGGAGTACACGCAACAGTGCAAGGGGGAGGATACGAGGGAGAGGAAGGGGGAGAAAATGGGACAGGGGAAGGGGGAGGATACGCGGCAGGGGAAGGGGGCAGATACGTCGTAAGGGGGGGGAAAGTCTATGAGGAACAGGAAGGGGGGGAGTTTGCGGCGCAGGGTGAGGGAGGATACGAGGCAGAGGAGGGGGGGAGAGTCATGGCCGAAGGCGGGGAAGACGGTCGGGCGAGAGATCCTGCCGAAGGCGATGGTGCGCTGAACGCAGCGGTGCGACAGGAGGCACATGAAGGCGGGGAGGACGACGCTGAGGATGATGATGTTGAACGTATGCTGTACCCTGTCAGGCCGGTTGCGGAAGCAAGCCGTGGCTCCACGATGGATGAAAGTGAGGAGGAGGCAGCCGCGATCATGCGGGGCAAGGCCAAGTGCATGGCGACCCTAAACATGGATGAGGGCGTACGGAATGACGTGCCGTGCAATGTCAAGAAGGCTGCAATGAAACGTGGGCGCGATGAAGCAGTTATTGGGCAATTGACGCCTGGAGACGGGCGCGGCAAAGCACGGGGCAGAGGGCGGGGAGAAGGGCGAGGTGGGCGAGCAGGGCGGGGCGGAGGGAGAGGAGGGCGAGGCAGAGGACAGGATGATGGAGAGGGGGAAGGGCGTGAAGGGCGAGGCGGCGGCCGAGCAGGGCGGGGCGGAGGGAGAGGAAGGCGAGGCAGAGGACAAGATGAACAAGAGGGAGAAGGGAGTGGAGGGCGGGGCGTCGGGCGTGGAGGGCGCGGCGGAAATCGTGGAGCGGGTCAACTTGGCCGCGGGGCTGGAGGTAGAGGAAGGGGCGAAGGAATGGGACGAGGAAGAGGAAGGGGTGCCACAGGTAGGAGTGACGTCAGTCCCTCTCTCTACCATCTTACCGCCCTTGCCTCCCTGCCATTGACAGGAGATGCACGGAGGAGGAGGGAGGGAGAGGCGGGGGTGTGCATGGTCCTCTCTGCTCCTTTCCTATTGGGTTATTTTCAGGCCCGCTGTTCTCACCCAGCCCGCTCTCTGCCATCTTTCCACCCTTGCCTCCCTGCCATTGACAGGAGATGCACGGAGGAGGAGGGAGGGAGAGGCGGGGGTGTGCATGGTCCTCTCTGCTCCTTTCCTATTGGGCTATTTTCAGGCCCGCTGTTCTCACCCAGCCCGCTCTCTGCCATCTTTCCACCCTTGCCTCCCTGCCATTGACAGGAGATGCACGGAGGAGGAGGGAGGGAGAGGCGGGGGTGAAATCGATATGCCTTCGTAATGTCCAACTCACACTTGCACAAAGTCGTTGTATATGTGTCATCGCTGGGTGGGGTGTTGGTTATGACCCTGGCAGGTCCTATCGCGAACACTGGGATTGGGCCACCCATGGCGATTTGTCGCTTCGAACTTGCTCCACAGGTACACTCGCGACCTGCCTTTCAGATGCTGCAGCCACAACATGCGCCAGCTGTAGCCAATGCTCGACCGACCGTGGGCAGATCTGGGGGATAGGGGCAAGTACCTACAGCCGCACCGTGCAACTCGGGCTGGCAAAATGCTGGAGAGACGGGGACTGCACCAGCTCCGCTACTGGCACATTCGTTAAACTCTGGCCGGTTGGGCGGTGCATCTGGTGCTTACAGCCAGGGCCAGAACCGTGTGAACCCGGGTGCTGCCAGCGCATCACGTCCTGCAAGCTCGAGGCCAGCCCATATCAACAGTTTCCTGGCTGCTTCCCAGCGAGCAGCCATCCCGAATGCCAGTGGTGCTAGGTCCGGCGCAGCAGCTTCACACAGATCAGCATCTTTTGGGGGGCAGCCTCCCCCTAGCATGATGCCTGGTGGAGGGGTCCACGTGCCTATAGCTGATGCGCACACTCCCCACCTCGGTTCCCCTGCCTCAGTAGGTCATGTACCGGGCGGCTCCTCAAGAAACCCCCCTGGGAGTGGAAATCTCGCGAGGCCAGGTGTCTCCTCTAGACACGGCTATGGTTCTTGTGGGGGCATGCATCAACCCACCCCCTCCCCAGGTCATGCGGCTGCTTATTCAGGCCATTCCAACCATGAGTTGGGCGCCATCCCCAATGGAATAGGGGGGCGTATCAGCGGCGGTGCACGCACAGCAGCATCAGCACCAGCGTCTCCCGCGAGTATGGGACGTGCTCCAGTGGCCCATGGACCGTCCGTCTCGCATCCGCTGAACCAGACGGCCTCGGCCGGTAGTCGGAGGCCATTAGCTGCACCGAGGCCAGGACTCCGCATCCCCCTTAACCCGGGCCCTCGCCCAGTCGCATCGGTGGCAGAGCAAGCTGCGATGAATAAGTATGAAACGAAGGGGGATTTGGCTGCACTGCGAACGGAGTTTCTACAAGCTTTACAAGCTCACACTTGCCAGTGTGGAGCATCTGGAAGCCTAGGTGCTGCAGCAGATGGAGGCAAGAACAATGGAGGTGGTGCGGGGGTTCAATATAAACCAAAACCTCGCACGAGATCTGTGGTGGCCATTGCGTTGGATGCGGTGTTGGCCGAGCAAAAGGATTGGCGAGTAAGTTCAAACGCTTCCATCCTATTATATTGCGTGTGTATCAGTGCGTAATACATCATTCCATCGTACACTATGAACAACTTACCTGCCTTCATCCGTTCTTGTCCCGATACACAATACTTTCGTGTCATGGCAGGGGGCGTGCAGTCAAGTGGTGACTTGCCTCTTCTGGACCGACGATGCAATGGAGATTCAGTTTTACCCCAACACCGACGAGGCGCTTGGAGAATTCGCGAAATTACTATCCCCTGATGCTATGACCCATCTAAAGCTTCTTTGGAACCTAACCGACGAATTCATCGTGGGGACTTTCAACAAGATGTGCAACACCAACAGAAGCAACGTCGCGAAGAAGCTACGAGCTGTTGTTTGGACAGCCCTGGGGAGCGTAAAGAAGCAACACAAGGTGGCAGCGCTTCCCAAGGGAGTAAAAAGCCCTGAGGCCTTCTATGAACACAAGGAACTCGCCCAAAATTACATGGACGGTACGTCGCATGGTGAGGGAGAGGGTGAGGTGTGCGTGGGCCCGTAGCTACTCTCATCCCTTCCTCTCTCTCTGTCCTTATCTCCCCACCATTGGCAGGACACGCACAGAGGAGGAGGGAGGGAGAGGGTGAGGAATTTCCTTACCCGTAGCTACTCTCATCCCTTCCTATCTCTCTGTCCTTATCTCCCCGCCATTGGCAGGACACGCACAGAGGAGGAGGGAGGGAGAGGGTGAGGAGTGCGTGGGCCCGTAGCTACTCTCATCTTTTCCTCTCTCTCTGTCTCCTTATCTCCCCGCCATTGGCAGGACACGCACAGAGGAGGAGGGAAGGAGAGGCCGTGGTGTGTGTGAGCCTCCATGCTGCTTGTATTGGGTTTGATTCATACCCCGCTGCTCCCCTCATCCTTTCCTCTCTAACTGTCCTTATCTCCCTGCAATGGGCAGGAAATGCACAGAGGAGTAGGGAAGGAGGCCGCGGTGTGTGTGAGCCTCCATGCTGCTTGTATTGGGTTTGATTCATACCCTGCTACTCCTCTCATCCTTTCCTCTGTATCTGTCCTTATCTCCCTGCCGTTGGCAGGAAATGCACAGAGGTGGAGGGAGGGAGAGGCTGAGGTGTGCATGGGTCTACATGCTGCTCATATTGGGTTTAATTCAACCATGCTATTGCTCTCATCCTTTCCCACTTATGTGCTTATCTCCCTGCCTTGGCAGGAAATGCATGAAAGCAGATGGAGGGAGTGGCTGAGGTGTGTGTGGGCCTCCATGCTGCATCTATTGAGATTGGTTTTATCTCATCCTTCCTCTCTCTGTCCCTATCCCCCGTCCACTGTCAGGAAATGCGCAGAGGATGAAGGAGAGATAGGCTGAGGTTTGCGTGGGCCTCAGAGCTGCTCACGCAGCCTTCTCTATCCTTATCTCCCTGCCATTGGCAGGAAATGCAGAGGAGGGAGGGGGAGGCAAAGGTGTGCGTGGGCCTCTATATTGCTCCTCTGTGCATTGCCCTTGTCTCCCTGACGTTGCTCGAGATTGAACAGATCAGTGAAGAGCTTTGAAGATGTGTACGTGGCTTTATTTTGCTTTTGATGGTGTAAACTCTACCCTCCTGCTCTCACCCTAAACCCTCTCTGTGCTCCTTTACCCACTCTACAGAAGAGATGGGAGGTTTACGTATCCATGTGGATACAGAAGACACGCAGTTGCCATTCTCCAGCAAAGCCTTTGCAGTGGGGATAAGACATGCATTCACACGGACCAATGTGACACTGGGGGCGTTCAAGACCCGTCAGATCGCGTATGCTGTTCTCGTAGTAAGAACAAGTAGACAGATAATGCGCAAGCATATTTATCGGCATCTAGCGGAGCTTAATTAAAATACTCGTTGTTCCCTTGCAGCTGGAATGTCCTCTATTGGAGGAAGAGGGCAGGATGACAAACAATCCTGAAGTCAACCGGGAAAAGTACGAGAGTACTGTGGTTAAGTGCACGAAATGGGTGGAGCTAGCTGTCACCACCATGGGCGTGCGCTATGATTCACGCAAGAACGCATTCCTATTTGGCAATGGTGTTTGTATCGACGCGAGCGACTACTCGGCATCGCTGAAGAAAAACGTCACTGGGTAGAAAGTTTGCCTGAATGTTGGTAGTTTAGTGCGTAGTAATTTGGGATTAATAGTAGTTATTGTAGGTTCTCAATACGGTAAGATTCTATAGTGGATTTAAAAATGCTATTTATTGTATTGAATGCTTATAACGAATACATGAAATAGCCATAAATAAGTATAAATAGTAGTTGTGATAATTGAAGTGCTACGGTCTATCATGTAGCGAATAGTAAACGGGACATGTGAAATAATTGTTTTTTAGGTCCCGCGGATTCAGGCGAGCTGCGACGGAAATCTGACGGAAAACTCAAGGAATGCTCGAGCGAAATCTGTTGGTAAGCATCTGTCTGAAATCTGACTAGAAATCAGTTGGAAACATCATCGATCCAGTAGTGTGATTTCTGACGGAAGAACTTCACAGTTTTCTGTCAGATTTCCGAGGGTCAAACAGAATTCCAGCCGAACGCGTCCAGTTTTCCGACTCTGCTTTTTGTGAAAGTGCGCCATTTTCGTGAAGCCATCGACGACGACGAGAACAGCGTCGTTGCCGGACGGCCCAGCTGGCATCCCCGTGACGAAATCCATCGTCACTTGCTGCCACGGTCGTTCGGGTGGCTCGAGGGGTTGCAGCAGTCCAGCTGGCCGCTGACGTGTCGATTTCATTGCTTGGCACACCCTGCATGAGGACACATAGCGCTGCACGTCGTTAGAGGAATCAGGCCAATAGTATTGACGGTGCAGTAGTTTCTGGGTTTTATCAACCCCAAAGTGTCCGGAGAAGTTCGAATCGTGGACCTTTTGGATAAGGAGTTCACGCAGCAGCCTGTAAGCGGGGACCCAGATCCAGTCGATTCTGAGAAACTGAACCAGAATGAAATGACTAAGGGAAAGTTGGGTACAAGTAGAAACCCTAGAAAGCTGTACCCCATATGTGCTACCCCACTATAGCCTACAGTAGCTATGTCATATAAATCTGACACACCCCCATAGGCAAAGTGGGGGAGAACAAGGGGTCACAAGACCAGTCAAGCAAAGCAAAGCAAGCTCAGGGTGGATCACAAAGTCACCACACATTCCGAGCACAAGTTCAAGGCCACAATGCCAGTTCACATGCAGGATTACATATATATATAAGGCTAGACAAGCAAGAGCAGGTGTATATATATATGCAACAGTACAAACAAGGTCAAGGGGTGAGCAAGTGAGGCAAGGTAAGCACAAGACCCAGCTGAGTACAGAAGCGCTGATGATCACAAGGCGCAAGTGCCTTGGTGAAGATATCAGCAGTGTTGGCCTCAGAGGCCACGTACGCAAGGCGCGGCTGACCACGCTGCTGTAGCTCACGAGCAAGGAAGTAGCGGAGAGCAATGTGCTTCGTTCTGTGCTCCAGTCTCTGCTCTCGACACAAGGCCAGCATGGCCTTGTTGTCTACGTACAGCACTGGAGGAGAACGAGGCGGTTCTCCGAGGTCAGTCAGCAGGTAGGTGAGCCAGCGAAGCTCCTGTGCAGCCATGGCCCCGGCGTAGATCTCAGCCTCACAACTGGAGCCGAGAACAGAAGACGAGTGGGTAGCCCGCCACAAGACAGAGCCGGAACCAAGGCTGAAGGTGTAACCCTGTGACGACCGCTGCGTAGCCTGGTCGT